TAAACTTGCAGATCACTCATTTAGGTCCTCCAACTTGTTCAGTTGTGTCAAACTTTATGTGAACGCAATATTTTGGGACGCTAAACAGTTTTAATTCAGAAACTTTTCAACTACAAAGTTGTAGGTCGCGTCGAGGGCTACAATTTTGATATAAAGTTTGTCTTCATTAGAGTTCACATGAAAAAGTTATGAATTATTTTTTGATAAAAAGTTTTTCGACCGTCCTGTTTAGGGACCGGGGTGACACAACTGAACAAGTTGGAGGACCTAAACGAATGATCTATAAGTTTAGGGACCGGGATGACACAGTCGAACAAGTTTGAGAACCTGAATGGTCGATTTGCGAGTTTAGGGACCGGGATGACACAACGGTACAAGTTTAGGGACCGGTGATGGACTTTACTCTAGTATAAATATTACCTTGTCTCTAAAATACTGTTGTTAGGTCTGACCCTTCGACAGAAAGAGAGTTGACCCTTCGACATGAAGAGAGTATAAATTACTAGTAGTAATTAGCTACACAGTAGTAAAGACTAAAACAAATGGAAGCTAAATTTATTTTAATCAGAATCGGAATCGAATACAAAACCCTGGAAATGAAAATAAAATCGAATACAAATATGGAGCGAATATGAAACCAAATGAACATGGTAACAAATATTTGTCGGAATATAAAACCCCCTTAGTTAAGCTCCATTAATCAACGAGGAGACATGGCATGTTATTTTTCTAGAAAAATAGGTCAACATATTCAAATTTTATATCATCAAATTTCATAAGTGGTTCCACACCGATTTATAAGAAAACATTTTTCATCATAAGTTCACCCGCTTGCGAAAACAATTATTTACTTCTTGGTCTTTTAATCAAAACCAAGACCTCTTACTCAGTATATAGCTTACTTTTATCATCTCATTTATCAAACTCTTGTTGTCTAAATTGGAGGTTCTTTTTTTTTATTTCTCCTCTGAAAACTTGCAATGTTTGTTTTGCACTTTAAATAATGTCAAATAAAGTCATAAACTATAAAGTATTAGATCCTGTCGAGCTCTACAACTATGAACTTTGATATAGAGCACTCGCAGGTCTAAGATTATAAAAAATAGATATAAGATTTTGTAATGAATATTTAGAGCCTAAATAATCTCAAATGATAAAGTCATTGACAACAAAGTTATAGATTTTATCGAGCTCTATAATATTGATTGATACAAAGTTTATCTTTATCAGACTTTACGTGATAAAGTTATGTATAAGACTCCGTTTGAATAAAATTATTGGTTGGAAACTATACTGTTCTTTAATGCCTACAAACTATTTGAACCGAATTTACCCCATAAGCATAGGGGTGAAAACGGTACGGAATCTTTCCGGATCCCGGACCTATTTTCGAAAACGGAATCTATCGGTCGGAATTTTTCGGAAATGGAAACGAATCCGGAAATATTTTCTCGGAAATGAAATCGAAAATGATAAGGGCAGTTTCCGTCGCAACTTGGAATCGGTCGGAAACTTTTCGGAAATTTTCTCAGAATTACCAGAAATTTTGAGATTGAAATACCCTGGATTCTTTTTTTAAGCACTCAATAGTGAATACCATGGCGTTTATCTGTTATTTTTTTAAAAAATATTTGTTATGCAAATCTAAAATTACATAAGAATATTTTTTTCCTGCATTAGGATTTATCAACAGCATTGCTCTCTTAAACATAGATAATTTATTCCATAAATTATGTTTTGTGATGTACTGTTGATACTTAACAATTGGACTTATATAATTATGTTTTGTAATGAATTGTTGATCGTTGAGACTTGAGAATTGGATTTATCAGTTTGAGGGGTTTTTTATTCCGATAAATTTTCGTTACCATATTCGCGCCGGTTTGTTTTCGCTGCATTTTCGGTTTCGATAATATTCGATTCCGTTTTCGTATCCGGGGTTTCCGATTCCGATTCCGAAAAAAAAATGAAAACGAAAACGATAAAGATGGTTTCCGTCCATTTCCGTACCGTTTTCACCCCTACGTAGGCACACATGGTCGAAGGCAACACAGCACTATAGATGAGTAGATTTTTCTTAGAACTAGCAATAGTTCCATTTGTCAATAAAACATCGTGTACATCTGTTAATGACCAAATTTGGTAATCCAAGTATCGGAGATGAAGAAGGAATCGAAGCGGAGTTCGAGATGGAGGTCATTCCGGGAATAGAGTAAGGATCGTCTGGAGTTCGAATCAGCTGCGATCAGGATCGGCAAAGTCCGAGTTGGACAGGGTTAGCCGATTGGGCTGAATCCGACAATATGATACGGCATACATTGTCAGGTTGGGTTGGTGTGCTTCATGAGGATTGCCACGCGTGGATAGAGTCCTAAGAAGGCAATTGTATCTATTAATTAGGATATTTTATGTAATTTCCTTAGAGATATGTTTGGGCAAAAGTCTGCCGCAAAGACTTATGTTATATTAGAGTTTGTTAGAGATAAGAGTCGTGTCCGACATGGACATGTTTTGTAATCTCGGGTATAAATAGACCCCGAGCCCTATGTAATTAAAATAACACACGTTCAATACAATCTCGGCGCATCGCCACCCTTTTTACTTTCGTTTTGTTTCGACGAGTTCTTGCTTTTGGGCTGAGCTGCATCGGTTTCGATCTTCAACAAGAGGTAAAACTTGTTATGGCGGCTTGCGTTCTCGGGATTAGTGCTTTCATCTTCATGATACTCTAATCTTGTTTATGTAATTCGTCGAGTTATCATATATCTTATATAATCTCTAGCAATATTGCTATCTAACCTTCAATCGGCTAACGTCTATTACTAGAAGGCAGCCGATTAGGTTAAGCACCGATATTGACTTAGATTATATAGGATATCCACCACTCTATGAAACATCCAACGGCTTGATTGTCTAGATATTGTCTTTCTTTTCATATTTATAGCTGCATCAGTTAAGTTTGATCTTGTGAGTCATGATTAGAATCTCAATCTTTTCGCCTGTCTTTGGTTGCCGATTAGAGTAGCATCGGGGTTTCAGCCGATCTTATCTGATTTAACTATATTTACCCTATATGCTTGATTGATATGTTAAATCTGCCCTTTATGTTAAGATCTTGTTGCATTTAAATATATTAGGCTTTCGTTTGGTATATTCTACTTGCTTTGATATCTTAATATAGAGTGGTATCGGAGTATTAGCCGATATATGCTAGATCTATCTGATCGGCTATGCTATGAACATATATAGCCTCGTTGTTAATATATATTTCGATCTAAGTGATTTATACTGTCTCGACATGGCGACCTATCTATCCCAATCACTTGATTTAAGTATATATCGACATAAGGATTATATACTGATAATATCTACAGCCGATCGAATAGATTTAGTTTTTTCTTATTTATTCATGACTGCCGATCGATGCACATATGATATCGGCTCAAAGATAAATGATATGTCATCGACAATTAGCCGATCGGCTATCGTTTATGGATTTAACCGCGGTTTCTTGTCTTTGTTTCTTGTTGATTGTAGGATCAAATCAACTGGCACGCTCATACACCTAAAGGCAAGCTTTTGGACCTTCACTGGAGTTAAGCAGATCTCCCAGGCCTCGTGTTTTTACATCAACAATATCATGTCTCGTGACTTGCTTGATAGCTTAGTAGTGCTCCAACTTCAAAATTTAATAGTTCGGTCTGAAGTAAAGTTATGAAACGACTAAAACCTAGCTTCATCTCTTTTATAAGAACACTTTAACCATCTTTGCTCCTATTTTAGATGAAATTAAAATTGTTTGTCTAAGCTCCAACTTTAAATTTAATAGTTAGTAGATCTAAAGCCTCTTTAATTTATTTTATGAAAATACTTCAGCCATTTTTCTCCCTTTTTAGATGAAGTTAAAAGTACTACTCCATTTGTCCCATTTTAAACACAACCATGAGTTTTCATGTCTAACTTTAAGTGTCCATCTTATTTTTTTTTCAAAAATTTAAAATACATAAGTCGCGTAAAATGTAGTATTCCTGTTTTATAATAAAAATACCAATAATTTTTAATAAGATGGACAATCAAAGTTTGATACAAAAATTCATGACTGCGTTTAATACGGGACGGATTGAGTATTTTGCTAAGCTCCACCTCCATGAGCTGAGCCAGGGTTTACGATTCTGATGAAATCCGATCGGATTTCGCGAAATTTCGACGTTTCGACGAGGCTCGAAAGTAGAAACCATCTGAGATTTCGAGAAGTTTCATTCAAATTCAAATTTGACTTGATAAAAAAAGAAAAAAAATCAAATAAAATCTTATAAATACTATGATATTTATAGAACTTATTAGGTTATAATTTTTTTAAAAAAATATGTATTGTGTGTATTTACTTAAACTTACATCTGGAAATAAAAGAATAAAGAATTAAAGAAAGGAAAACAAATTACTGATCGATTTCGATCGGAATTTCACCAAAACCGACCGGTTTTCGAGAACTTATCAGCAAACTCAGGGAATTTATATTCAAATTTTGATTTATGAAATTTGTTCAGAATTTACCAGTTTTTCACCGAATTTGGTGAAATTTCGAATTCCGCCAATGCCTGGGACGGAAGGGCCAGTCGGAATCGTAATCCCTGACCTGGAGATTATATTCCCATTTCGATTACGATTATTGTTATTATCGCTAAACCAAATAAACTACTAATCCGGAAAGGACTCCAATAGTTTCGCGAACTTTCTCGCCTCCCCCTCGCGACGCCCACCGCAATTCATTCCTCATCCGTCTCGGTCTTGGAGGCAAAAAAAAAATAAAATAAAATAAAGAATCATCTTTTCCTATACTAATTACTAGCACTACTACTCCAGTAGAGTAGGAGTCGTGCTAAGTAATATTCTGCAAATAAAGATTTTCTTGTCGCCTCCGGGGCGGAAACCAATCAACCCGGGCCAACCTCTTTCTACCTATAAATTCTACTACTACCCCGGATAGCGGATTCACCAAGTTCGCAGCAGCAATCGTCTTCCTCTTCTTCTTGTTGTTGTTGGCGATGTCGGCGATGTCGGCGGCGGGCGGCGGCGGCGGCGTGGGGAAGGTGGAGCGGCTGTCGTCGATCGACGCGCAGCTGCGGCAGCTGGTGCCGGCGAAGCTGTCGGAGGACGACAAGCTCATCGAGTACGACGCGCTCCTCCTCGACCGATTCCTCGACGTCCTCCATGGCCTCCACGGCGACGACCTCAAGGATCTCGTAATTTATCCAACCCTTTTCTTCTTCTTCTTTTTCTTTTTCTTTTTTCTTTTTTTGGTTGCAATCTTGGATTGGAGCAATACTATGTATGAGTGTGAGTATGTGAATCCAGCTGAGCTTTTCGTTCCAGGGCAACACGTGGCATTGTTTTGATTGGGATTTTTAGTTCAGTAGGTTTTACTTTTAAGTGTGCAGATTGGGTTTGGATTTGTTACTACTCTTTAATCTTTAGTGGGGGGTAAATTTGTGTATGGTTAATTCTGTGCTTTATTAATTATTAGTATGGGTTTAGTGTAAAGCTTGAATCTTGGAGGTGAATTAGTGTTCTCTGATTTGTTCAGTTGTTTGTGTGCTGATTTAGTGTTCTGGGTACTGAGACTGAGCATACCAGTGGATTCTGTTCTTGATTAGGCCCCTTCTTTTTTTTTTCCTAAACTCGTGGTTAGCTTAGGGGTTAATAATAGCTGATCTGTAAATTGTGTCAGTCAAACTTTACCTCATCTGTTTGGGATCTCTTGTTGAATCAATTAAAATAACTGTTTTTTTTTTTACTGACAAGGATCTATACTAGTAATGAAGCCTGCAGAGTTTGACCGTATCAATTAATTTTGGTTCTCAGTAAAAACACACTGTTCAAGTATGCATGGGGTTATGGGTGTGTTGTTTCTCAGGAAACAGAGTTGATTGCAGAGTCTTCTTCCTTTATATACCTTCCTGTAAACTGAACCTGAATCCATACAAATAATTTTAGCAAATGTACAAATAATTTTGATTCTTTCCGTGTTCATCTTTTCATTGTTGTTTATTACGATTTAATTAGAAGGGATTGCCACCTTTAAACTGAATTTGCGTGCTACATGATAGGTTCAAGAATGCTATGAGGTGGCCGCGGAGTATGAAACAAAGCACGACGTGCAAAAGCTCGATGAACTCGGCAACATGATAACAAGCTTGGATCCGGGCGACTCGATTGTTATTGCGAAAGCCTTTTCGCACATGCTTAACTTGGCCAACTTGGCTGAAGAAGTCCAGATCGCATACAGGAGGAGGATCAAGCTCAAGAAGGGTGATTTCGCTGACGAAAACTCGGCAATGACTGAATCCGACATTGAGGAAACACTCAAGAGGCTTGTTTTTGACCTGAAGAAATCCCCTGCTGAGGTCTTTGATGCCCTCAAGAGTCAGACTGTTGACCTTGTTTTGACTGCACATCCAACACAGTCTGTGAGGAGGTCACTGCTCCAGAAACACTCCAGGTTAGTCGGCGAAACAGCGCGATTTGCTCACACCACATGATGTAGTTTCTAGTCTCTAATCTCGATTGTAACATTCTTATTTCAGGATTCGGAACTGTCTGGTTCAGCTTTATTCAAAGGATATCACTCCAGATGACAAGCAAGAGCTTGATGAGGCTCTCCAGAGAGAGGTACTTGTTGCAAACATTATGTTCATTTACAAAATGCTTTGCATTATTTTCAGCATGAGGTCAGAAAGATCCATAATCCATTCTTATGCTTCACCTGACATCCTATTATTTTAGATCCAAGCTGCCTTTAGAACCGATGAGATCCGAAGAACACAGCCCACTCCCCAAGATGAAATGCGTGCTGGCATGAGCTACTTCCATGAAACAATATGGAAGGGTGTTCCAAAGTTCTTGCGCCGTGTGGATACTGCATTGAAGAACATCGGTATCGACGAGCGTGTTCCTTACAATGCTCCTCTTATTCAGTTCTCGTCTTGGATGGGAGGAGATCGTGATGGTGAGAAACATATCTATTTTGTTGTTGGTTCTTAGCACTATGCCTTATAAATAATTACAGCACAATGAATCCTCTTTAGATGTTGTCTTTAAATTACTACCACTTAGGAGATACCATGTCTGTATGCACTCTAAATTTCAAATGACCTTTACAGGAAATCCAAGAGTCACACCAGAGGTTACAAGGGATGTCTGCTTGCTTGCAAGAATGATGGCAGCAAACTTGTATTGCTCACAAATTGAGGATCTCATGTTTGAGGTACAATTTGATTTGACTATTTTAAAGTACAGTAATTATTATGCATATGATTGTTGGATATTGATAAAGCTTTAAATGATTTCAGTTATCTATGTGGCGATGTAACGAGGAGCTACGCTCACGAGCTGATGATCTGCACCGCTCTTCTAAGAAGGACGCAAAGCATTACATAGGTACAGTTACAGCATTTTGGGCTTAACTAATGATGTAGGTTGCTACAAGAGGCCATTTTTGGAAAAAAAAAAAGATTCTAATTGTTGTTTTTTTGTTGAATCTTGGATGCAGAGTTTTGGAAGAAGGTTCCTCTGAATGAACCATACCGGGTGATACTGAGTGATGTGAGAGATAAGCTTTACAATACACGTGAACGATCACGGGAGTTGTTGTCCAGCGGATATTGCGACATCCCTGAGGAAGCAACTCTGACAAATGTTGAGCAGGTATAGAAATTCCCAGCAAAAATCAATAATTTCCATGTATAACATATGTTCAACGATTTTTTAACACATATTTATCTTCTGTTTCAGCTATTGGAGCCCTTGGAGCTATGCTACAGGTCGCTGTGCGCCTGTGGTGACCGTGCCATCGCTGATGGAAGCCTTCTTGATTTCTTGCGCCAAGTTTCCACCTTTGGACTCTCCCTTGTGAGGCTTGACATTAGGCAAGAATCCGACAGACACACCGATGTCCTTGATGCCATCACGACATACCTGGGCATAGGATCTTACCGTGAGTGGTCCGAGGAACGCCGTCAAGAGTGGCTGTTGTCCGAACTCAACGGGAAGCGACCATTGTTTGGCCCAGACCTTCCCAGGACAGATGAGGTTGCTGATGTTCTAGACACATTCCATGTGATTGCCGAGCTCCCTGCTGACAGTTTTGGAGCCTATGTTATTTCCATGGCAACAGCCCCCTCGGATGTCCTTGCTGTTGAGCTCCTCCAACGCGAGTGCCATGTCAAGACACCGCTTAGAGTTGTCCCCCTGTTCGAGAAGTTGGCTGATCTTGAGTCTGCCCCTGCGGCATTGACCAGGCTCTTCTCAATAAGTTGGTACAGGCAGAGGATCAATGGTAAGCAGGAGGTCATGATTGGGTATTCAGATTCAGGCAAGGATGCTGGCCGTCTCTCGGCAGCTTGGCAGATGTACAAGGCTCAGGAGCAGCTCGTCAAGGTAGCGAAGGATTTCGGGGTCAAGTTGACGATGTTCCATGGACGAGGTGGAACCGTTGGTAGGGGCGGTGGGCCGACTCACCTTGCCATCTTGTCTCAGCCTCCAGACACGATCAACGGATCGCTCCGTGTCACTGTTCAGGGTGAAGTCATTGAGCAGAGCTTTGGTGAGGAGCACTTGTGTTTCAGGACACTGCAGCGTTTCACCGCTGCTACACTTGAGCACGGCATGCATCCACCCAGTGCACCGAAGCCAGAATGGCGAGCTCTTCTTGATGAGATGGCTGTGGTGGCAACCAAGGAGTATCGATCCGTAGTGTTCCAAGAGCCACGCTTTGTGGAGTATTTCCGCCTTGTAAGTCCTTTCTCCCATTTATCATCTTCAATTCTTCATCAGACTAGTAAAACCTCTAAAATAGATTGAAAAGTGAAAACTTAAACTTAAAAGTAATTATTTGCTTTGTGCAATGATTTACCATGACAATCTTATACTTTGATGAAATAATTGTAAGATAGTGAACTAATGCAACTTAGGAGTAGCATACCGTGCCACTGTTATTTTTGTGATGGAACAGTGTAAACTAGACTAAAGATAACCTTGGAGCCATTGAATTAGACTTATTAGACTTTTTCAAAATTATAATTTGTGTTGTTTGTGGTTGGCAGGCAACACCTGAGACAGAGTATGGAAGGATGAACATAGGAAGCAGGCCATCCAAGAGGAAGCCGAGTGGAGGCATTGAATCACTCCGTGCGATCCCATGGATCTTCGCATGGACGCAGACCCGCTTCCACCTTCCCGTCTGGCTTGGATTCGGTGCTGCATTCAAGCACGCCCTTCAGAAGGACATCAGGAATCTCCACATGCTCCAGGAGATGTACAACGAGTGGCCGTTCTTCAGGGTCACTCTCGACCTGATTGAGATGGTTTTCGCCAAGGGTAATCCTGGCATTGCTGCCCTTTACGACAAACTCCTCGTTTCTGAGGATCTACAGCCACTGGGTGAGAAGCTGAGAGCCAACTATGTAGAGACACAAAAGCTGCTTCTTCAGGTATGTTCACTAAAAACTTCAACCAGTACAATTCCAACTTGTACAGTACTCTGAACTCCTGATTACTCCTTGTTATCATACAAAAGATAGTACAATGATTGGCTTTTTTTTTTTTACTTCAGGTTGCTGGCCATAGGGATCTTCTTGAAGGTGACCCCTACCTGAAGCAGCGGCTCCGACTCCGCGACGCCTACATAACCACCCTGAATGTCTGCCAAGCCTACACGCTGAAACGGATCCGCGACCCGGATTACCACGTCACGCTGCGCCCTCACCTGTCCAAGGAGGTGATGGATGGGAGCAAGCCGGCCGCGGAGCTTGTGAAGCTGAACCCGGGTAGCGAGTACGCGCCAGGGCTGGAGGACACCCTCATCCTGACCATGAAGGGCATTGCTGCAGGGTTGCAGAACACTGGTTAAGACTTAGGAGAGATTGCCTGAGTGCCATCTTTTTTGTATCTTTCCTTTGATCATTTGCCTTGGGCCCTGTTATTTTGGATACTGCTGAATATTGGTCTCCTTACTGAGGGAGGGGTAACAAATACCGGCGTTTTTTTGCCTATGTATATTATTACTGAAATAAAAGGAGACCATGATCATTATAATAACCTAGTATGTTCTTCTCGTGTTTTATGCTTAACAGAGCTCTTGTTTCTGGCATGTTCAATAAAGATAGACCATGATCATTCTACAGTTCCATATAAACGAAAAAAAAAGGTCCAAAGTCAAGATGCATATATGAATGAATACATGTACTGTTTGGCAACAGCAAATTAGTCACATTCTACCTTGAGGTAAGGTAGTGAACTGTCATTTTTCGAAGGATGAAAAGAAACATAATAACATATGTACAAAATGTCCCATGAGAAAAATACCGTAGAAACTGGAGTCAATGGAGTCAACGAACAAATAAACCTGATCCCCTCAAGAAATAAATTGGCCAATCACTATTGCACAGCCGGTCCCAAGAATGCTTAACTATGTGTATCCCACCAATTGACGAAAATTGTACAATGTAGCAGGCTTTCATGCACCAGCCAAAGAAGATTATCCCTCCCGTCATATTCGATGGTTAGGACTTCCAACAAGATTTTATCAAATCTTTAAAAATTTGACCAACAATTTTACATCACCTAGAATAAGTTTAAGTATGACTTTTCAAAGAAAATCTACGCATACACCATTTTTCCTGTTTTTAAACTAAGTCCTAAGTTTTAAAAGTTTGATAAACTCTCTAAAAGCTGCCCGGTGTAGCCTGTGATGCATCCATCTACTTACTGCATTCTTCTTTTTTCATCCCCTCCCATCTCTTGCAGAAGGAAGGAGAGCCAACTAGCCATGCTTCCTTCCTCTCTGCTGCCCTTCTTCTTTCTCCTTTTCCTCATCCTCCATGCCACTAAGCTAGATGCTGATTCTGACCAATTCATCTGCAATGGATTTAAAGATACTGATCTTAGTCTTAACGGGGAAGCTTCAGTCACAAGGGGACTCCTGAACCTTGGCAACATCCCCCAAAAAAGTAGCCATGCTTCCCGGAGCTTCCCTTCGTCAGCTGGAAAAATACCTTCTTTCTCGACAAGTTTTGTGTTCGTCATCTCCTCTGATTATGCCAACAGGAGTGCTAATGGGTTTGCATTGGTAATATCTACAAACATTGGATCACAGAACAACTTGCAAGGTATGTACATGGGACTTGATCCCTTTGATGATGAAAACTTCTTGTTTGCTGTCGAATTCGATACCAAAAGAGACAGTGAATTCTTCGACATCAACAACAACCATGTTGGGTTAGACAGCAGCAGCTTGATTTCCCTTCAGCCTCAACCCGCAGAGTACTACACCCCTGATGATTTGTTCAAGGAGTTGACACTTTGATCAGGTACCAATACAGGCATGGGTGGAGTATGACAGCAAAGCAAAAACGGTAAATGTCACTTTAGCACCTTACTTGATGGATAAACCTCGACGTCCACTGATATCATTGTCAGAGTCCAGTCTAATCTCCATGATATCGCAAGATAATCAATTAGCATCTATAGGGTTTTCATCTGCAACAGGCCCCACACACAGCGGCCATTACATTCTCGGTTGGAGCTTCACCACAGATGGGGAAGCTCAGCCACTTAACCACTCTGCACTGCCTCTCGAAGTGGCTCATGATTTTGCAAAGCAAGATAATCTTAAACCTCCAAACAATCAGAGACAGGAGCAAGATCGTTGTCAACTTCCTAACCATAACATATTAGCCATTGTTATATTATCAGTACTGGTTGCCATGTCTGTCCTTGTTGCTGTTATTGTTGTTTTGCTATGCCGCAAGAAGAAAGCTGGGAAATGTGAAGATTGGGAGGCCAAATGTGGGCCACGCTCTTTCAGGTACAAAGATCTAGTGACAGCCACTAGTGGATTTGAGGACAAGATGCTTTTTAGGCAGAGGAGGATTTGGGAGGGTTTACAAAGGGGTGCTCGCTGTTACTAAGCAGAATGTTGCTATAAAAAGCGTTTCTCCGGAATCAAAGCAAGGAATGAAGGAGTTTGTGGCGGAGATTGCCATCCTTGGCCATGTCCGCCACCGTAACCTTGTGCAATTGTTAGGCTACTGCCGATAAAAAAGGAGCTTCTCTTAGTCTACGACTATATGCCCAATGGCAGCCTCGATAAGTACTTACATGATCAGGATAACACACCTACTATAGGTTGGGCTATGAGGCTTGGCATAATCAAAGGTATCACATCTGGCCTCTTTTACCTACATGAGGACTGGGAGCACGTAGTCATCCACCGTGATATCAAGACGAGCAACGTGCTCCTTGATACCGACATGAACGGGAGGCTTGGTGACTTTGGCCTTGCAAGGTTGCATGACCATGGAGCTGATGCGCACACTACGCATTTCGCTGGTACATGGGGATATATTGCCCCTGAGCTATCAAGACTGGGCAAGGCAACCAAGGCAACCGATGTGTTTGCATTACAAGGAGTGCTCGTGACGACCCTATAGTGTTGGTGGACTGGGTGCTCGAGACATGGCAAAATGGTTCGATCACCGACACCATAGACCTGAGACTGGAGGATTGTGTAGCAGAGGACGCAGAGTTAGTTCTAAAGATTGGGTTACTGTGCTCGCATCCATCTCCCAATGTGAGGCCAAGAATGCAACAAGTTGTGTAGTACCTCGAGAGGGTTCTTACATTGTCAGACTACTCACCAAGTTTCTTCACCACTGAGGTTCACAGTGATGACACTGCAGCCTATGATCAATATGTGATGTCATGTCCGGAAACAACATTAACTGGTCTATCTGGAGGAAGGTAGTGGTGTTTAGTGTATTGCTAAGTAAACTACGGAGTATAGCTTTGTCTGTCATAGTGCTCTCTGTTAGCAGGTTGTTAGCTAAGATGTTAGCAGGTGGCCCCCACAACGCGCTCAGTCGCTCCGCCCCAGGGAAGACGCGGGCGGCGAAAACGCCGTCGCCCCTTCTCTCCCGGCCCCTTCTCTCCCCGCCTCACCGCCGCCAGAGTAGCCGCTGACAAAGCCGGCCGGCTGCAAAGATGGCGGCTACGAGGCTCCTCTTCTCCCTCGCCCTGGTGCAGCGGTTGGGGCACCGCGAGACCGGACGACGGGAGCACGGCGCCAGCGTCGACGCCGGGATCCAGCGCCAGCGAGCCTGGATCCGGGGGGCCGGATCTGGGCTGGGACGCGTGGCGGCGCGAGGGCCGCGCGGAGGCAGTGGCGACGGCGTGTGGCCCACGCGGAGGGCCACGCAGCGGCAACGTCGGCGTCGGCGTCGGTGGTGGCGGTGGCCGTCCAGATCCATGCCGACGGGATCTTGTGGGGCGGCAGCTGGTGGCGGGGCTGAGTAGTGGTGGCGGCGTCTGGTGGTGTTGGCAGCGACGTTCCGTCCAGATCCGTGCCGTCCGGCCGGATCTGGGGGGGTGGCGCCTGGCGGCGAGGATGAGCGGTGGCGGCGGTGCGTTCGAGAGGTGGTGATGGCGACGACTGGTGGTGGCGGCGGCGGCGGCGGAGCCCAAGCCAGGGTGGCTGACCAGAGCTTCAACACGCTTGCCAGGCCGCGCCAGTGGATTTCTTTGCAGCGGCGACGTGACGGTGTCCTCCCTGGCGGCGGCTTTGGCTTGTGTGGTGTGCACCTGGCCTCTCTCTCTCTGCAAGATCCGGTCCCCTCCGCCGGATCTGGAGCGAGAGCGCCGTGCTACGGTGGATGTCTCGGTGAACCGATGCGGAGCACTGTGACGGAGGGTGTCATCGGCATGGTGCGGAGGGTGGCTAGGCGATGGTGAAGCAGTCCTCTAGCCCGAGGATGGCGTGGGCAACGGGATCGTGGCGGAGTCGACGGATTGCACTGTCAAGGAGGAGCATCGGTTCTTCGACGGGCTCCAACCCAAACTTCGTCCTCCTGCGACGGCGCCTTTGCCGACAAAGATGGCCACATCTCACCCTCTCCCCATCCAACCCAACTGTGTGGATGTCGTTGGAGCGTGTCGGGGGTCGAGCTCCTCCTTGACGGTTTGCCGACGGCATGGCGCCGGCGCGGTGGCCACGCGTCGAAGGCTTTTGACGGTGGTGGCGGTGGAGCGTGCAGGAGTTTTTTTGGGAAGGGACGAAATTCGGACGAAAGCCCTGCCTTCGGGCCGGCAACAACAACGTCTGTGGGCGCCGCTCTCTCCTTGGGGTGTTGCTGTAACTCTTGCCTCTCCCATTCTTCGGGTGAAAACCTTCTCCTGGCTCTCGGGACGGGCGACGGTGGCATCCTTGGTGTCGTTTCCTCCTTGGAGGCGTCGTCGCGAAGATTTCCTGTTTTGCTCTTGCAGCGTTTGTGGTTGTAGGCGCGTGGTGTGGTTGTTTTTTTCTTTCTGGGCTATAGTCTTCCAGGACTATAACTTGTATTTTTCTCCTGCTTTATCAATACATGAAACTCGCACTGTCTTGTGCGGTTCGTTTCAAAAAAAAAAGATGTTAGCAGGTTGATTTCCTTTCTTTTACTGTATGGGTTCTGTTCTGTTTGGTGTTTTTTTCTTGACTGGTCCTGTTTGGGTTTCTTATAAAGCTGGGTCAATCAGTACGATTGATCTTTGCTAAAAAAAAATTAAAACTATAGCTGTGTCTGTCTGTTGCTTATATGTTTTCAGTGTCAATGCTGGTCGTGTGCCCAATTAAAGGTAGTGGCTCGTATACAAACTATTTCTATTATCTAAAACAATTGTAAATTCGCTCCATTTGGGCGAATAATTCACTGTCTGAACCCTTTTCACACAAAGAGTGTTCATTTTCTGTATGGCACCATCTTAAAATGGGCAACCCTATCTATTGAATTCTCCTAACACTGTTATCGATTTGCTCAGATTTTGTTAGAAAGTTATATACTATGCACTGTTAGTTTGACTATGCATCCTCACTGTTGATCAGGAAATCCAAATATTAATTATCTTTTAATCCTCCTAACAGCATAATTCAGATGATACGAACTTTTTATTTGCTGTTGTTAATTATCACCCAAATCAAGAAATACAACTAGCATAATAAGGAAATAAAGTACCCAAATATGTTACTTTCATGCACTAGTTAGTATAGCTCGAAATGTGCACTGAAAATTTAGTACATATTTGTTTTTTTAAGTATTGATTTGATTCCTTTTCTTTTAACTAAAGTATACTGTTTATATGATCTAAAGACAACCATTTGTCCGATTTTGCACCTACATACCAAATTACATGTGCAACATGTTACTAGTAATCTACTACTCTCTCCGTCACAAAATATAAGGGATTTTTGGTTGAATGGGACATATCCTAGTATTACAAATCTAGGATGAGTTCCATCCATCCAAAATTCCTTATATTTTAGGACGGATGCAGAAATAATCATCTAAAAGTTAATTCAGTGAGCAAATTCTTCATATACTTAGTTGTATGTTTGGAATTGAGGTAGATTACTATTATCTCTGTCTGGTGCAACTACATTTTGATATTCTGTCATTTGGTAATTACCAGTAGATGGACAGCAATCAGTGACATTGCCGAGTATCCATACCGGTTGTGATATAGAATAGCACCAACTAACGGTTGAACCAGGCGGTGGCACTAATTTCAGGTAAAACGAAATGAAATCACTGTACAATTTGCATGACAGAATAATAAATCAATTGTTGTAAATTGACAGCGCTACACTACGCATACCATTTACTGTGAGCAAATCATACACCAATTGATTCCAACAAGTTACTACTCTACTCTACAAGGAAAATGGGGGGTAGAAGTAGAAGCGTGGCGGTGAGATCGGAGGATGGAGGCGCACCTCGGTGAGCTCGGAGGAGAGGAGGGCGCGGCCCCGAATCCACCTGCTCGGGCGCGCGGCCTCCTGGTGGTGGCACGGGATCGACGATCTGATGGCGGCGACGGACGGTGGCCCGACGAGGAGGAAACGGCGGCGCGGGGCGGGGAGAGGAGCAGCCCGCAGTGCCTCCGCCTGATCTCCGGCGAATCTCCGCCGCCGCCGGCTGGTGGAGAGAGAGGTTGAGGGATCGGAAGTTGAGCAGTAGTCTGCATCCAAACCACTCATCGACCATCCCATGGCTTATTTAGCGCACCTAAACAGGTTACTAAAACAAAAATTTTAGGGAACCTCCAAGAGAAGGCTAAACATGTTACTAAAACATAAATTTTAGGAATTTGGTAAAAATCAGCCCTCCAACAGACTTCTAAGTATGGTCCCAAAATTTACCTACCTCCAAAACCAGGACCAACCTGAACTAAATATTGGACAACTAGAAGCGCTCCCAATCGAAGCGATTGTTCTTGCCTGCGCCGCCGTTTTTTCTTTCCCTCGTGCCAATTTTTTTCCTCGCCCGCGCTTTCCCTCAACCACCGTCCCTTCGTTCGCCGGGAGGAGCCGCGCCTTTCTTCCCCTCCTCGCGCCAGCTCCGTTCAGGGCGCCGCCGGTAGCCCATCTAGGTCACTGCCAGCCCTCCGTCCAGGGCGTCGCCGGCAGCCCATCTAGTGAGTTTCGTCGTCCTTTTTTTTTGCATCTGGATAAAATCATCAAGATCAAGTATTTCATCGTGGGACACTCTGACATTTTCTCCCCCCCCCCCCCTCTGGGAACCGTTCTTCCCAATCAACTTCTCCCTCATCTTCAATAATCATGTTATGCATGATAAAACAAGCTTTCGTGTGTCTTTTCATCCCAATATTGAGCTGGCCCTCGAACAATGGCAAAGCGAGCTTGTAGAACCCCCAAAAGCTCGTTCGACATCCTTCCTTACTGCTTCATGTGCTTTGGCAAAATATTTCCTCTTGTTGCCATGTGGTTCTGGTATGGTCTTCACAAATGTGGCCCAAGAAGGATATATGCCATCAGCAAGATAATATCCCATCGTATAATCGTGACCATTTATACTATAGTTCACTTCAGGAGCCTTGCCTTCAGCTATCTTTGCAAATAGCGGGCATCGATGAAGTACATTGATATCGTTATGAGACCCAGGCATAAAAAAAAGCGTGCCAAATACAGAAATCCTTTGAGGCAACGGCTTCTAAAATTATTGTAGGCTCATGCACGTGCCCTTGGTACATACCATGATATTCCGTATGGCAGTTTTTCCATTTCCAATGCATGCAGTCTATGGAGCCTAACATGCTGGGGAAACCTCTGTTCTCCTCAAGTTTAAGTAATCGAGTTGTATCATTCTCATTGGGTGATCTTAAGTACTCATGTTCAAAAACTTCAACAACTGCTTTCACAAACCTTCTCAGGCTCTCTATAGCGGTAATTTCTGCAACACCAAGATATTCATCCAAAGCATCTGCTGCTATACCATAAGCCAACTGACGCATTGCTGCAGTTTGATGACAACTTAACCAATTATACTAGCTGCATTTCTTTTCTACACAAAATAGTCATCGTGATCCTCTACCGCATTCATTATGCGGAGAAACAGAGGACTGCTCATTCTATTCCTGCGCAATCATAACTAACGAGACATGCATATATATGCATATGACAAAAAAATAAATCATATAAAATTTACGACATACAAACCTGCACCTAAATAAAACTGGGCCATAGCTCAAGCGAGCTGGCTGCTTTTTGAGCGTTCTGCCGTCTCCATCAACGCGAAGCCGAACATGCAGATCGACGGGACTCTCAAGTCCCGGCTCATTCTCCTTCGCAAGGTTGCCCGGCGGCTGAGCACCCGGGACCTTTGCGAGGAGTTTTGCCTCCTTCGGATTTCCCCTCTCGCCCATGTGTGGGATGTTTCCGTGAACGAGGGCAAAGAGGTTCTTGGGCTTCCCCGCCTAGTTCTCCCCACCGGGGCCAAAAGTAAGGTTCTTTGTTTTTGACTTAGGCCGCGTGCTTCCTTCATGAAAGCGCTTTTCAGGCTAAACGGTTGTGTTCCTCTATTTTCGCAGTGCGGACATTGGAAGACGCTAAAATTGAGGCGTCGAAGATGATCAAGGCTCTAACCACAGCCAAGTTTGCCCGCTTGCTCCAACGCCAAGCTGACGGCCGAGTGAATCGTGTCTATACTGGCGAATTGCCGAGCCGATCGAACCCCTCTCGGGCCGGCGATGACGAGGCTGGCACTTCGAAAAAGCGCAAGCGCGCGGTCGCGAAAGGCAGCCAAGTCCGAACTCGCCGTAGCGTGAAGACCGCCGTCGAAAACGATGGGGAGGAGGAGGATGAGGAGGATGCTGATGCCGGTTCTGAGGAGGATGGCTCTCGTGGTTATACCCCCAGCCCTACCCCTGCGAAATCCAGGGTAGGCTCCCATGTTTCTCCTACATGACCTCAAGACATCGTCGTAGCGAACACCCTCTTGGCGATCTCCAGTACAGCCGCGAAACCGATGATGGCTGTAAGAAGGAAAAATAAGAAAGGAAAGGTTGTGCAGGTCGGCCATGGGTTTTCGGATAGTGAAGGGTCCGACGGGACCCCTACTTCGTCGGTGTTGCGACGCGCAACTTTCCGTGGTAGGCGCATGTCTCCGTCACCCGCTAGCAATGCCGAAGCGGCGACGGGCGGGAGTGCCTCAACCCCAGCCGCTGGGTCGAACGTTGCTGAAGACGAACGGGTCGATGCGGTTCCTTCACCTATTCGTCAACACGAGGGGAAGGCCCCGGCGGTTGAAGCGAGCGTTTCGGACGTGACGCTTACCGCCCCGCATTTCGTCCCTACCGACTTCGCCACGCGGCCGGAGATCACTCCGTTCATGGACGGGGTGTGCCAGGTCATTGCGCCGACCAAAGGCCTTAGGCTTTTCACCGAACTGAACGAGTTCGGTGAAAGCTGCGCGGCTGTGGAGAGCCTATTTGTGCGGGTATGGCCCATCTTTGCGTGCTGAATTTTGCTCTTTCGCTAGCTCTCTGACTTAATGTATGTTGTTTTTTTTTATCAAGGCCTTGCCGCGCATCTGAGTGCCAAGAAGTCCGCCTTAGAGCAACTAGATGGGTATCGCCTTCGCCTTCGCAAGTCCGAAGAAGAATTTCACCACAAGGAAGACGAAAGGCATGTGGTGGCGGAGACTTTGAAGAAGGCGAATGCCGAAAACAGGTCTCTCCGCTCTAACCTGGAAGCATCACGCCAGCGGGACGCCGAACGAGACCAACAACTTGCTTTGGCCGAGGAGAAGATTAAATCCCTCGAAGCCCGTCTTGCGTCGGCCGAAGCTACGGCCGCAACCATGGTGCCAGCCACAGAGTCCGCCAAGGAGGCCTGTTACACTCTTCGGCTGCCCTTAATGACCTTGGGGCGCGGGCGGAAGGTGCTCTGGGCGAAGGCGGGACTGCACTTGACTTCTCCGAATGGACGCAGGAGGCGGCCGGCTCGGTTGTCGAAGTAGCAGGCGCCTACAGGGACTGTTGTGCTCGTGTTTCGGCGGGATTCGTTCTCAGCCTCTTGCACGCGCACGGCTGCGACCACATCGGGGATTTCCCGATTTCGTGAAGGAAGAATGGCCTAGCAACACGCAGTGCTCCGGGGCTACATTAAGGGCCTTTCGAAAGGGGTTTTGGGAGGATGGCGGCCGGGATTGTGCAAAGATTCGGCTCCGCGAGAACCTTGAAAGGATCGCGATGAACGAGGAAGCCGCTGCCGCCAACTCCGAAAAGGGTCCCGGACCGTCGGGACGGTCACCGGGGCACGAGAGCGAAGGCGACGGAGGCCAAGACCACCCTGAGGTGTGAGGCCCTTCGCCCTCGTGTCTTTTTATTATATTTTATTTTTTCCTTTGGTCCTTTCGGACCTTCTTTTAGCCTAAGTCTTTTGTATATAGACTTTTGGTCTGTTCGGCTTTAAGCCGCATTCACCTTGTACTTAATATAATCTCTATTCCACTGGCAAAGTATTACCCTTTCGCCTATTTAATTGTTTCTGTTTGAAATCGGGGTTGATCTTCGTCTGTATTCTCTTCTCTTTTTTGAACTTCTCCCCCCCCCCTTTTCTTTGGCGCTTTGCCGGCAGGGGTGCGGTCAAAAGGTTTGCGTTTGACCTCCCGTTAAAAATTGGCGAAACAGCAACGAGAAGTTCGTGGCGTTGAAGGGTTTGCCGAAGTTACAGTGCCCATTTCGGCCTGTTTATCGCGAAATGGTGATAAATGGCCACATCTATAAGGTGTTTAAGGTCGCCGGCTGGATGCGAGCGCACCCCGGGCGGATCTTAGAAGACTACGACCTTGTTCATACAAGACGATTGGAGGATATGGCTCGTTTTTGGCGAAACCATCAGAAGACTGAACGGCAGGAGTTAATCTTTCAGCGTCGTTACAGTCTAGTTTGTATTTCGCCTCCTTCCCCTCTCAGGGTCGTGTATGATCATTCCCTAGAGAGAGAGAGTGATTATGGGGGCGAAGATGTTATTTATCTGTAAGTTGGGCTGTAACGCCATTGTTCTTCTCTTCTCACTTGTAGCATCGTGATGGGTTTGTATTTTTACTTGAAATCAATGAAGGTGCGTTTTATTTCCTTTTTGCTATTTTCGCATTGTCACTTCGCGTGCTTTTCGTTGGGTCGGAACATGTCGGCCCCTTTGCATATATTAGCGAAATAGGTTTTGACTTTTCAGCTTTTGGCTTCCGTTTTCGATCAGTTTCGTTCAGCGTTGTAAGGTGCACTTTGCGCTTTCCTCTTGATCGAGTGTAACGGTGTTCGGTTAGTTGTTCCCCGAAAACAAGCTGTTGCGGTTTCAACGTTCGGCGAGCGATGCTTCGGCCGATTCGTTTCGCCCTCCGGTCTTTTTCGCTGATCAGGCGTTTTCCTTGGGGTTTTTTCCGCAAATTATCAATCGCACAAACAAATAAAAAGAAGGCAGAGGACACAAAGATTTTATACTGGTTCGGGCGTCCGTGGTGGATAATAGCCCTACATCCAGTTTTTTGTCTTTTTTTCATTTTCCTCTTTTTTTTCTTCTTTTTTTTCTTGCCGAAAGGCTTACATAGTTGCCGAAGGGCTTACATAACAATATATACATTTTTACAAGTTGGCGATTTGGGTGTCACCCGTTCTAGACATAGAAACGCTTGAGAGGTAGCGTTCCAGGAATGGTCGAACTCTTCGCCTTCCGGTGTCGCCAGTTGAAAGGATCCCGTCTTGGATTTGTGCTTGATGAGGTACGGTCCTTCCCACTTCGAATCAAGCTTGCCAACGGCTATCGGGTTCGCCTTTTTTCCTTAGGACG